AATTTCATTAAAGATTTTGAGGAGTAGTGGCATTAGATTTTCTCTAAATTTCTTGTAGGATTCAACAATGATTCCATCAGGACCTGGGCTTTTCATAGTGATTCTCTTGTTTCAGCCTCCCAAGTGCTGGGATTGCAGACGTGCACTACCATGCCTAGTTTTTTGGTAATTTTTAAATTATACCTTCAATTTCATTCACTGATATTGGGTTATTTAGAAATGTTTATCATCTTAATTCTGTTCTGGTAATTCATATGTATCTAAGAATCTGTCCATTTCTTTTTAGTTTTCCATCTTATTAGAATAGATGTTCTCCCATCCAAGTACTAACCAGGCCTGACCCTGCTTAACTTCTGAGATCAGATGAGATCAGGCACGTTCAGGGTGGTATGGTCGTAGACAAATAGATGTTCTCAAAATAGGTATATATGATCTTCTGGATTTCTGCGGGGTCCATTATAACTTAAGGGTTTATCAATTTTATTTAATCTTTCAAAGAAAAACTCTGATTCCTTGATTATATTATTTTCTTAGTCTCAATTACATTAACTTTTGCTGTGATCTTTATAAATTCCTCTCCCCATAGGGCTTTGGGCTTGAGTTGATCTTCTTTTTCTAGAATCTTGAAGTTCAAATTTAGGTTATTTATTTGAACTTGCTCTGTTTTTCTGATGTGGGAAATCACTGCTGTAAATTTCCCTCATAGGACTGCTTTCTTTCCCTCCCATAAGTTCCTGTATGTCATATTGAATTGTCATATAGCATTGTCATATAATTGTAGTAACTGTCTAATTTCTTCTTCAATTTTGTCTGTGACTCATTGTTTATTTAGGAGGGCATTTTAAAATTTCCCTGTGTTTATTTACTTTTTATGATTTCTTGCAGTAGACCATCCTGTTGATTACACTCAGAGCAGGCTTTAAGCAGTGGAGGCTGTAAAGAGTTAATGCTACAATTGGCTTGTTTAAAGTAGTGAGTCAGACTGAAGCCTACATGACCCAAAAGTGCACAGAGGATGGTATGTGGATTAGCATGTCCCCCCACCAGTGGCCAAAGCCGAGACTAGAGATATGGTCTATGAAGCTGTGCAACTCTGACATAACAAGTGGTTCTCCCCAAATTCCTTTCCCAGAACTGTAGCTTATTTCACTTGAAAAGTGAATTAATCATTAACCATGACATGTTTCTGGTCTCTTCTGTTCTTGATGAAAGATGTTTTGTTCCCTCCTTTACAAGCACAGCCTGCATCAGTGTCTTATTCCTAGGAAACATATGTAGCCTCCTTGCCCCATCCTATAGATTGTACAAGCAATAAACACCATGGATATGGCTGTTTTGGGGTCTTGCTATCTCAAATACTGACTGTCTCAGTTTCCTGTGTCACTTTTACTTTGTCTCTGAGATTTTCTTTGCAGCCTTGTATTGTAGCATCAAACAGGAGGTAGGAGTTTTTGCCAGGGTCCCTGATAATTTATTTTGCCATTTATTTCCAGTTTCTTTGTTCTATGATTTGATAATATTCATGGTTAATTTCAGTTCTTTTTCATTTACTTAACTATGTGGTCTATTTTGGAGAAAGTTCCAAGTGCTGTTTAGAAGAAAGTATATTCTATTGTAAGATAGAACGCTCTGGATATATTTACTAAGTCTACTTTTTAAAGGTTTAGTTCAATTCTTATATTTTTGTTGATTATTTTTGGTCTCCTGGATCTGTCTATTTGTGACAGTGGAGGATTGGTGTCCCCCATTACAACTGCATTTGTGCTTATTTTATTTTTATATCAATTAGTATTTGTTTTATATAGTTGGGTGTGTCAGTATTCGGTACACATATATTTATGATTGTTATCTCGTCCTCTTGGATTGTGGCCTTAACAAGTCTGTAGTGAGCTTCTTTGTCTTTCTTGATCATTCTTAGATTAAATCCCAGTTTGTCTGAAAATAAAATACCCATCCTTCCTTTTTTTCCATGTTCCTTTCAGATGAAATATTGTTTTCCATCCTTTATCTTTCAGTCTATAATTTCTTTTTGATTTAAATGTGCTTCCTGTATGTAGCATATTAGATCTTCTTTCTTGATCTATTCTGCCAATCTTTTCTGTATATTGATGAATTGAACCTCTTTACATTGATGGTTATAGCTGGTATGTATTAATTTATCATTGGCATATTAATTTCCTGTTGTTGGTTCCCTTTATTTGCCTTCTGTTTAATTGCTTACCCTGCCTGGTAGATTCATTATCTTGGGTCTCATGTAATTATTCTCTCCACTATCTATTTCTAGAATACCCTTCAAAAGTTTGAGGAGTGCTGGGCTTTGGTCATGAGTTTTATCAGGTGTTCTTTATCATGAAAGTATCTTATTTCTCCATCAATTTTGAAAGATGATTTAGCAGGGTACATTAATCTGGGTTGGAGGTTTCTTTCTTTGTGGGCTTGAAATACTTCATTCCAAGCCCTCCTTGATTTAAGTGTTTGTGTTGAGAAGGCTGATGTGATTCTAATGGGGTTTTCTTTATAGGTGATTTTGTTTTTTGTGAAACAGCTTTTCATACTTTGTTCTTGTGTTGAATTTCTGAAATCTTGACTATTACATGCCTGGTGAGGTTTTTTTCTGATCATGGCTAATTGGCGTTCTGCGTGCCTCACTTATCTGTATGTCAAATTCTTTTTTCCATGCTTGGGAAATTTTCTGTCATTACTTCTGTGAACAGGTTTTTTTAATGCCTTTTGTGTTATTTTCAGATTTATCATTCATTCCAGTCAATCTTATGTTATTCTTCTTTGCATCATCTAGCAGCTGTTGGATTTACTTTTCATGGTCCCTTGCTATTTTTAAGAAGTCCTTCTTTTCAAGGTTGCTAACCACAAACTTTTCTTTTTGGTCTGATCTTCTGTTTTCACATTGGTTGATTCTGCTGCATATACTTTCAATAGCATTTTTAATTTCCTGGATAACTGTTTGAATCTGTTTTATGCAACATAGTTCTTTCCTATATTGGGCATTCATGGTCTGCAGCACTTTCCTAAGCATCTCTATTTTTAAAAAATCTGTATGTACTCTATATTCCTTATGGTTATTATCTCTTTAGTAAATTGTGCATTTATTTTTGATTTTTTTTTGTACAGCCTCATTCACCTGTTTTGGCACTTCTGCTACTACCATTTCAGAAAGTCCAACTGGGTGGGTTTTGATTACTTCTGCTTCAATACCCCTGGATATGCCTTGGGCAAGCTGGAGGCTTTGGGTTGCATTTTTCTTCCATGTTTTCTCATTCTGTATATTCAAAATTTGGTTTTTATTCAGTGATGTTTGCAAATTACTTATGGTAGGTAGCTTTGTTACTGCCACTGAGTCCTCTTTAGGAAATGATTATTTTTTAGAGATGTCTTCTACATGTATCTGGGTTTTGGCTTATTAGTTTGTCCTGAGATCCTGTCTCTGATTTGTTAAGAATTAAATGTTGGTGTCTGTTTAACCTAGCAGTAAGTTCTTTGGTACTGGACTATGGTATTGTTTATAACTCCCAGACAACCTTCATACTGGCATACGAGGATGAACAAGTGATCATAACTTTCACTTTGGGTAAAGTGGTATGATCAGTAATAACAATAGCATCAAGTACAGTTCACAAAATAACAAACTGATAAATTTTAATTTTCTACCTTTAACTATAGGTACAAGCTTTTATAGTTATATAACAAGATCTAAAATCAATAAAAATTATATACTGTAAATATCCCCTTAATAGGGCAATTTTACTCTCAGGGGAGAGAATTTATAAGGGTTCAGAAGAAAAAACAGAGAAGTAAAAGAAGAGAAAAGTATTAGAATCAAGGCTAAAGGGCAAGGATTACTCAAGTTTTGGGAAACTGATGAAGACAGGAGAGACAGAAGGGAAAAATAAAAGTAAGAATGAGCAAAACAAAATAAAGCAAAACCCCTAAAAACAATGTTCACACTCATGAAAAAAAAATACATAGTCAAGAAGAAACAAAAATTAAAAGTAAAAAAAAAACAAAAACCAAAAGCAATGAACAGTCACCATTTCTCTGGACTTCAAGCCTGTGGTTATTCTCTGGTGTCTTCATTTTTGTGGTAGTGTCCAAGTCAGAGCTCAGATCTGTGCTGGGTAACCCCAGTAAGCCTGCAATAGGATTAGAGAAGAGTGCTGGATAATTCCAGAAAACCTGCAGTAGGGTTGGGGTGGTATGCAGATTCTGGTGCTTTCAACTCTACTGAGGTTCAGGCTGATCCTGACCTCAGGCTTTGAGGTTGGCACCTGAGTCTTCTGCCAGAAAAACTCTGGGAGTCCCACTGATCCTTAGCTCTCAGTGTCTCTCAGGGCTGTCTCTCACTCAATTGCTTTGGGATTTCAACACTGGGAGACCTGAGACAAAGCCAACTCACAGCTGGTCTGAGTCTTGGATGCAGTTGGCCCCGCTAAAAGGGTGACTGACCAAGCACTGTTTCCAGAGAACATGGCTATCACCTGGTCTGAAGTCACTCACCCTTTCAGTGTGCAGCATCCACTGCTCCACTCCAGTTCTGTGTTTCTAGCTGGAGGCCTCTGGACTCACCTGTCCTCATTGTGCCTCTGTAGATTCGATACTCCTTTCTCTTGCTGCAGGCTGGGAATGGGGGTTGCGGGTAGGTGCCTCCATTTTCGGCGCTGCCTTCCATCTCTTCACTTTCTTTGGCAGGTTCCACTTTTTCCTTCCTGGGTCCTGGTGATCCACCGCCCTCCTTCCTCTCTTCCCCAAGTGGTTGTTTTCGATGTCTGGTTTCCATATCTTGGAGAAGTTGATCTGTTGCTGCTTGCTGCTCTGCCATCAAGTTGATCCCCTTTTGCCCAGACATGAGCAGGGATTTCCTTCAGTTGGCATGGTTGTGTCATACTGTTAGCATAGCCTTTGTTTTCTGGCATACTAATATATGATTGTACTCATGTAGAATAAATGTGTTGAAAGTAAGAATTAGTGTTGTACTAAATACTATGTCAACTTTTCCTTAGTATCAAGGATATGAGTCTGTTCACTGTCTCTCTCAACACTTCCTTTACCTTTTCATTCCTCAAGCTATAAATAAAAGGGTTCAGAAGAGGGGTCACTATGGTGATGAAGACAGCAGCTACCTTGTCAAAGTCCAGTGAGTTGTTCTGATTGGGTCTCACATACACAAAGATGTTGCTCCCATAAACAATGGAGACCACAGTGATGTGAGAAACACAGGTAGAAAAAGCTTTTTGACAGCCTTGAACTGAGGGGATGCGTAGAATGGTAGAAATGATATAGGTGTAGGACCCAGCAGTGAATGTCAGGGAGCTCAGGAGGACAAGGGCAGATAGGATAAAATTTATCTTCTCAATAAGATGGGTATCTATACAGGCCACCTGAAGAAGAGGGGCAATGTCACAGAAAAAATGATTGATCTCTTTCCTATAGTAAGGTAGCTTTGTTACTACAATGGTTGGGACCATCACAGACAAGAAAGCTCCCAACCAGCAGCCCAGAAGTAATATGAGGCAGGCCCTGCTGGTCATGATGATAGGGTAGCGCAGGGGGTTACAGATGGCTACATAGCGGTCAAAGGACATGACAGTCAAGAGGATGAACTCCACTGTCCCCAAGAAGAAGTAGAAGTATGTTTGAGTGATGCAGCCAACAAAGGATATGGTCTTCTGCTCTGCCAGCAGGCAGGCTAGCAGTTTTGGGGTAACAACAGTGCTGTATAAAATATCCAGAAATGACAAGTTACTGAGAAAAAAGTACATTGGGGTTTGCAGGTGAGGCTCAGTCCATATGAGGGAGATGGTCATAATGTTTCCTGTTGCTGTTAATGTGTAAATTAGTAAGAGAATTACAAAAAGGAACACTTGAATCTCCGGGAGATCAGGTAAGGCAGTCAGGGTGAATTCAGTCATTGTGCTCCAGTTTCCAATGGTCATTGTTGCATACTGGGCTATGCTCCTTGAGGAAACAGAAGGAAATCAGCTGAGGTCATTTTATAGACACCTGGTGACACTGTAATATTGAGTCCCTTTAACAGATGAGTCATGGCATATCATCCTCTATCTGAGAGTCATTATGTTCTCGTGGGAATATTAAGTGTAATATCCCCCTCCTTGTATAATGAAGAGATAAGACTGCATGAAACTGTTTTATACTTTCTATTTCTACTCATCAAACAGAATTTCTATATATATTTTTTACTTTTCCAGTTTCATTTTATCAGCTACAAATGTGCTAAAGTAGTGACTCATCCCTGAGCTAGAACTTCTTTCTACTACTCTAGAGTTTAGTTACTGAGAGAAGGATCCTTTTCAGTACTTTCTACACCTTTTTATAACTTTTTTTTTCAGTTAGGTCATTAACATTTGCTACCTGTTGTAGGAGATAAAGCTTTATGTGGTTTTTCCTTTACCTGATGGTCTCCAGAGGCCCCCTGCCTCTCTTTTAGCAGTGGAGACGGAATCCATGAGGCATATCTCCAGCCCTTATAAATTTTTTTCAAAAATTTTGAGACAGGGCCTTGCCAAGTGGCTAAGTTGTGAAGCTGCACTCAAACTTGCTGTTGTCTTGCCTTGGTCTCCTAGAGTTCTGGGATTACATGCTGTGCTAGAACACCCAGCCTCCCAAGTTTTAGTCTTTCTCTAGCAGTTCAGAGATGTTTGAAGTGAATAATGACCCTTGATTCCCATTAATCACTATAGATGATGCCTCAAAAGAGAATAATGAGTATGTTGTCTATATTCTCTGTGTTTAAAAGCTTGTTCCTACAAAGCATGTAAACATATCTTACACAACTGGATGATCATTTGAGAGAACATTATGCAATGTGACAACATCAGAGAGGTACAAATGTTGCACAGAGAAGTAAAGCAGAGGTGATTAATTTACTTAATTCACTTGTTCAGCTAAAGTCCTAAAACAATTTCAAGTTCATCTTTTCCTTTATCCTAGTATTTGAGATGTGATTCTTTTTCAGATTTTCTCATTGCAGATTAAAAATACTCAGGGTTTACTTCTGATTTTGGTAGCTTTCTTTGTCTGTATTTCACCTGGCTCCTCTTTAATAAATAAATCAGCTGCTGTTCCCCTCTTTTCCATTGATTGAGATTATCTCATTTTCCTGCCTCCCATAACTCTTCTGGACAAGGCAGTTTGATGTCCTGCTTTATTTTTTACATTTTCCCCTATTATTAGAAGAATATTTTTAGTGGATAGAATTTTAAAAATACAAATGCAAAAAAGAGAAATAATAATCCAGAGTCAAACTTCTTAGAAATAGTGGCCATATTTAGCAGTGTGTATTTCCAGGCTCTTTTGAGGGCTAAATTGCATTCTAATGTATCTGAAATCAATTATACTACTGTACTATTTTGTAAAAAGCTTGCTCTCTTTTCTGCTTTTTTTTTTTTTTTTTACAATATATCATCTTCCATGTTAATAACTGGAAATCTACACAAATCATTTGTATAGATGATATGGTGGATATATTTAGTCAGTTGCATAGTGTTGGAAATTTAAATGGTTTATATTTCTTGTTTGTATACATAATGACCCATTAAATATTCTTCTTCATAAATCTTTGTGCAATTGTTTTTGTTAATTCTTCGTGTGTGTGTGTGTGTGTGTGTGTGTGTGTGTGTGTTTGAGACGGGGTCTCACTATGCAGTTCAGGCTGGTCTTCAGCTCACTTGGTAGCCCTGGCGGGCCTCATACTTGCAACAATCCTCTGGCTTCAGCCTCCCGAGCGCTGGGATTACAGCTGTGTGCCACCACATTTGGCTGTTTTTGTTAATTCTTCATAACGTTTCCCAATAGCTTATTTATCTTCTCTATCTCTGTCTCAATATAAAAACCCAAGAAAGACCTGGTCTCCAATTTTACTTTGTTAAGTAGTTGATTATGTGAAATTACTCTGGATCCCTGTCATGAGTTCTTTTAGGTCATAGCTTATAGCACAGCAAGGCCTGGAAAGCTGATGTCTGAATAAAAGGAAAATGCTTTTTTAAAAAAATGCCTTTTATATTCTGGGTTTCAAGTCTTTCACCTGAAAAATTAGGAAGCTGGACCATAAGATCAATTCAGTGATTCAAGAGACTTACTATCAATTTCTTTTCAACTCATAACCCATCTGAAAGATTCTAACTTCTTTATTCTCCAGTAAACAAATGCCCAAGTAATTTTGTAAATTACACATAGAAGTTGCTATTCATGGATACACATACCAATATAATAGTCAGACCAGGAAATAGACAAACAGTAGACAGCTAGGATAAACCCAGATACGCCCTGGAAAAATTAAACAGAAGGGGAAAGAGTCTTTTGTACCATGAGGAAACTGGAGGGCAGGGGAGCAAGGGAAGTCTGTGCCCCTAAAGTCAGAGGCCTAGATAAAAATGGCAACCCATTGCTTCAAAGGGAAAGGGTCTGGGTAAGCTGAGATACATCCTGAAAAGCTGGAGTGCTAAGGAAGTCTGCTCCTCCTGAAGCCAGAGGCCTAGCTAAAAGCTGCAACAATATTGTTTCATTTTTGTGCCCACCAAAATAGCTCACTAAAGCCTGTATATAAATCCCTGAACTTGAGCATCTCCATGCCATCCTTCCTGGGAGCCTCTCAGCTATCAAGAGCTTTTCTTTGTTCTTTCTAATAAACTGTTACTGTCATTCCTCACTGCTATGTCTGTGAACTTCAGACTTCACTGTCTTCAGGACCAGAGCTCAGGAGAACTTAGCTACTATAGCATGTGGAATCACATGTGTTGTTTTTCGTTTGTTTTTTTTTCCAGTCCAGGGAACTGAACCCATGACCTTGAGCTTGCCAGGCAGGTGCTGTGCTGCTGAGCTAAATCCCCAGCCCTGGAATCACATGTGAACAGACTTTCTCCATGAGCCATTCTGTTTGTTTTTGTGTATCTTTTACTATTACTCTCATTTGTTGTTCAACAGAACAATATTTTGCACTGTAAGATTTAAGTATTAATTATGTTGGTGAGATAGTTAAAAAAAAAAACACCTGGGTTCCAGTTTCAGTTTTTCCTCTTGCATTTTTTAAAAATGAGTGCATATTAACTCTACAGATGAAAGGATTTTATTCTGGGGGATTTGTGTACACATAAATCATATTTTAATTATTTATCATTTGCTCCCCCATCATCCCCCTTCCCTACCATTTTACCTTGTTTCTCATGCTTTTTTGGGGGAGGAGGTCAATGTATAGAATGTATTTTTCTCACATTCATGCCAGTCTCATTTTTACCACTCCTAGCTCTGTTATACTGAATGAAAATGTTACTTCTGGGTTATAGTTTCTTCATCTCAGAAATGAAAATAATTATAACATTCAAATGCATTACCAGAAGGTTTAAAATTAAATCCTATGTGTGACAAAACCTAGCAGAATCTTTCCATAAAATATGGTTCCAGGGGCTGGGGATTTAGCTTAGCAGCAAAGCGCCTGTCTGGCAAGCGCAAGGTTGTGAGTTCGGTTCCCGGTACCAGAGAAAAACCAAAAAAAAAAAAAACAAAAAACAAAAAAAACAAAAAAAAAATATGGTTCCACTCAGAAAAGATTAAGATGACTTAAAAGAGATCAATAATTAAAGGTAATTGTTTTCTTATTTAGATTAATGTCACTAATCACATAAAAATTTAATTTGTAACTAAGGAATATTTAATGTATCTCTTAATCAAGTTAATATTTTTACCTTGCATCTCTCTAGATTGGCCTCTGATCCCATTAAGAACATTGACAGATCAGAGACTGCACACAGAAAAGTAAATTTAATAAAAACGATCTTAGTTAATAAAAATATGTATGAGAAACTACTTATATTACCTCATAAGATGAGATAAAATTCTTTTCATATGTTTCATACATGCAGAAAAAATGAGAGGCTCAAACTTTATTATATATGCATGAATTAATTGAAAGTATTTTTGGCCCATTGTATTCCTGTTTCAAACTCAGAAATATTTCTCACGGATGAAGTGAGTGACCCACGCTAGGTCCCTGATCCCACTGACTCCTATAAAATTATTGATCCTCGATTCTTAAGTATTTTTCCCCATGTAGGAATGTTATATTTTTGTCTTTTTGATTGATTCTCACTCATTTAAAGTATTTAGCTGCTGAACTTCTTGGATATAACATCTTGTACACGTTGCTCATTCAGATATGGCTAAAGTGTAATTCTTCAGTGTACTCACCAAGCAATGTTCCAGAGAAGGATACTTGGTGAAGTTTTGGTATCTTATTCTGTTTTCATGGTTAGTAAAATGTATTTCTGTGGAAGCTTTGACTAAATGCTCTTGAAGATCCCAAATGTTTCATAGGATGAAGGGTGACTTGGATTTTTTTTTTTAAGTTACTTCTTTGCTTTTCACTGTAAAGTGAAGCTTCCCTTCTTGTATCTCTTGTTTTTGCAACTGGATAAGCTCTACATTTTCATAGACTTATTTACTTTAGAGATTTAGATGAGAACAACTCTTGGGGATACAGAACAGAAGAAGTTAATGAAGAATTTGTTATCAAAGAAAGTTGGTTCTGAATTACTTAATCACAATTACAAAGTTTTAGAAGTAGACCTGTTTGGATTTCCTTGGGGATTTCTTCAGATATTTTGCTGTTTTGATCTAAGGGAAAACAGAATACTTAAAAAGTCTGAGGGAGGTAAAAACATAGAATGCTTTTCATACTCCTTAAGTTGATAAAATAAGAAATATTCTCCAAAAATGAATATTCTAGAGTTTCAGACACTATGTAGTACTTCTGTCTATATTACTATAGACATTTTTAGGTGATATTAGGATAGACATTGTTAGATGGCCAGGTGAAAATATGGCTATAGCAAATCCTTTTTTTTTGGACAGCATCTTGCTATGCAGTTCAGGTTGGCTTTGACCTCACAGAGATCCTCCTCCTTCAGCCTCCTGAGTACTG